TAAAATGATATACGATGTTTAAACAAAAATAAGTTATGTGCAATGGTATGGGATGTCGGATTGCACTACCAGTGCAATATATTGCTGAGGTATGCAATAGTACAGTAAATATTGTGCAATAGTTATGTAATAATGGTTTTTCATTACGTCACTTGTGTGCATATTTATACTGTATAGTATATAGTATATATATACTATATATATAGTATATACTGTATTAAATACTTTCACTGTATATACAGAATGTGCGCTATTTTTAAACATAATAAAACTTTTATTATTTCATTGTTTACAACAATTTATTTTTTGATTAAGTTGATGTTTTTTTCAAAACATTACTTAGGTTTAGATTTGCATTTTGATCAAATACTTGGTATCTTTATTTTTAGTTGAAATTCAAGCAAAATATAATTTAATTACAATATTTACAAAATTTTACTTATTGAATAAATTTTAATATGATATAATTTTTATTAAACAATTTCCTATTTTACAATTAAACAGTAATTTTACTAATAATAAGTTATATTACTTAAATAATATTATTAAACATGAATATTTCATGCCTGCATTTTGTTCACAAATGAGGATATTAGTATTTCAAACTATTATTAATTTTATTAAATTGATGTATTTCAAAATTACACATTTTATTTAAAATGTTATATCGTAAATTTGAATAAATAATAAAAGTAAATTACACTTTATTTCAATATGTTTACCATCTCTTAAGCCCTGATGAAGATCTCAGTGTAGATCGCAAACGTTGGGCTAATCTATTATTTTTTGCTCATTAATAAAATAAGTTATTCAAACAAAACATTTACTTAAATAAGAGTAAATATTTCAACAATATTTCAACAATTATTAACAAAAGTGCTATTATTTTAAACTCGTGCCTCAATTCCGACGATTACTCTTTGAGGAGCCGTCAGACCGAAAGACCTTTTATAGCGCACAGGAATGTCTGTCTGAGTCGTCGGGGAAAATGTAAATCTCCTGATAATGGTAGCCAAACCTAACTTTGCTTCGAGTAATGCAAACCTCATACCAATGCAATTGCGAGGGCCGGCACCAAAGGGCAAGTATGTATAAGGTATAATGTTATGTCTATTATCAGGCTTAAACCTATCAGGGTTAAACTGGAACGGGTTCGGGTAGTTCTCTTCGGACGTATGTATGGCATGAATGGGGAAATCAATTTGCTGTCCCTGGTGCAATGTGATCCCTGTGTCGCCTAACTTGTAGTCAGTAGCGGAAAGGCGTGACAGTCGTGGGGCCGGGGAGTGGAGTCTCAATGACTCGGAGAGGACGGCATCCAAATACGGAAGTCCTGACAACAAATCGTAATCAATCTCTTCGTCGGAATCGATGGCAGAGTTTACTTCTTTGTGTAGTATTTGCTGGACGTGTGGATTGAGTGCCAATTCATACGTACAGAATGAGAGCAACGATCCCGTCGTCTCATACCCGGCCAAAAGGAAAACCATAGCCTGAGCCATGATTTCATTTTCAGACAAATGTCTGTTCACGACATTCATATTAAATGCTTTTCTTTTAGCCGCCAACTCTTCCTCGCCTTTTAAATCAATTATAGTTTTATCGAAAAGTTTATTAATATTCAGATAAAGTGTTTATCTATACCTTCATTCACATGATGTGATTCATTGATATCATTCTCATCTCTTAAGATGTCGTTCCCTTTCTCCATATCAATAAGCAGTTGAAGGAAATCATTGTATTTCTTGTCCTCATTTTGACGCCTATTCTCAAAGATCTGACGAATGGATCCCAAGAAGAAGTGTCGGCTCGGCGTACAACTGTTGGCCACCCCTAACCTGATCTGTACAGCCATTGGTAGCATCATTTGGGCTATTTTTTTGACAGGATTTACATCGAAGGCATTCCTCGCGTTCACTACAAACGGGTTATCGAGTACTTTATGGACATCGGTTTTGATGGAGAAGGCACAGATGGTGATCACATCCATAGTGTAGGCGCCGTACAAGTCCTTCACATTCACCTCTTCTTTCTTAGGGGCGAAGCCCTCCAATTGGTTCACAAAGTCTGTCAAACACTCCCTAATTCTTGGATACATTTTCTTCATCTTTCCGGAAGTGAATGTCGGGCTAAGTATGGATCGGATTCTCTTCCAGTCATCGCCAGTCAATTCAATCAATATTTTACTCATAACCCCATCTCTACTCCGAGCAAATTTGGTCCGATCCGTGAATAGATGGAAGTCCTTCACCAGAATTTGTTTAATCAATTCCGGATCACTTATGCTCAAAATTGGAGTTTTACCAAGGTAATGACTGTTCAATAAAACATTTATTTCGTGTTTAGAAATATTTCTATAAAAATCTATAACTCGTATTAATATAAACTAGATATTGCAACCCATAGATTTTGCAATATTTTTTAAACCAATTGAGTTCTTGTAAGGGTTGAGGTATTATGAAAAGGTCCAAAAGATTACCAAACATTGGAATTGGTCTAGGACCTTGATCCCTTTTTTAGACCAAAAGGAAAACCCTCTAAATAAGTACTTGTTATCAATAATATTACATTAATTTTTTATTAAACTTTGATAATTTTCTCATCTATTTACCAATAAATAGCAGGTCCAATTGATAATAAGGCAAATATCATTGATGAATAAATTAAATCCATTGTCAAAGTTATATTGTGAATGACCGGGATTATGAACACTACTAATAAATAAAGTTCTTTACTTGATTGGCTTAGAAAAGCACCAGAGTTTCACCAAATAATTATAATAATTACCTGAAAGGCGTGTTATTTACAGTAGGAATTATAACTTAATTAATATTTATTTATAAAAATACAATTGGTTTTTATTTGACAATAATTTTGGTCATAGAGAAAGCGGGAGATAGAGAAACACTGAAAAATATTGGATTAAGGTTAGTGGGAAATATGGTTTATACTTAATTAAAAGTTTCGCATTTTAATTTAAAATTTCATTAAATCTCAATATAATTATAATATCATTAAGTTTATAATTTAATTTTTCCCTATTAAATCAATAGTTAAATTATAAACTTAAAAGAATCTAAAACTAAATTTAGAAATCACTAACTTATATTTAAATGAGAGCCTACAAGTTTGAGTAAATTAATGTTACTCTAATAGAAATTATAATTAATATCTTATTTTTTAAAGATAATATGAAATTTAAATAATTAAATTATTATATTTTGAATGTTGGATTTATTTTGATTGAATTACTATTGGCTAAGAAGTATTATACTAAAATGTCTAGACATCTGGATGTTGAGGTATGCAATATTACAGTAAATAGTTATGCGATAGTTATGCTATAATGTTGTTTCATTTCTTGTTTATGAATTTTTATATTAATATACCGTAGTAAATATTTTCACTGTATATAATACCATACGGAATGTGGTATTTTCAAACATAATAAAGACTTTAATTAAGAAACTATTATTTTTTCATTGCTTAACTTTAATTTTTTGATTAAGTTAATGTCTTTACAAGCACATTATTTTTTATTAAAAAGGCAAAATATAATTTATTTACTACATTTACTTAATATTACTTATTGAATAGGTTTTAATATAACAAACTGTACACACAAAATACATGGGTATTTTATAAGGTTTTAAGAAAATAAACTCCTTAAAAAATTGGATTATAGGCGATATACAGATCGTTTTTAAAAATTTATTTTAAATGTTAGCACGATAAATAATAAATGACAACTTTAGCTCGTATTTATTTTTACTGATGATTCATCATCAGTGATGAATATTGTAGTGATTTAAAACATTCATTATAAAGTAGTGGTCCATTATAAATAGCTGGGTTATTTGACCCTCTTAAGACTTGGTCTACCGGTGTGTCTATCATCAATGTGTAGTATGTCTAATCAGACATCCATGTGACCCAAATGTACATCATTTAAAATTATACTATTATTTGAATGTCTATTATTTACATAATCTCTAGAAAGACCTATTATAGAGAATATCATGTTTTGCTTCTACAATGAAATAGCAGATGATTATTATGCTGATAACACTGATCAGTATAAATTATACTGTATAATGATGGGAAGGTATGTGAAATATACATCTTTGTAATTGTTACTAGTATCAAAGTTTAGATAAAAACTTCAACGGCAGACACACCGGTTATTGCTATAAGTAATTAACAAAATATAATTGACCAAAATAGTTTATCTGGTTTAATACAACAAACACAATCTTGTATAATGTATGCATTATATTTGAGTTTCTTCCCTTGTTCATTTGAGTTATTATTACAGAATTATAGTAAAATATTTATAAAAGAATATTCTGCAAACCAAATACATTTAATTAATGAAGACTATTTAATAATTAATTTCTAGCAGAGCTTGCATTACAATGACTTATTTAAAAGAATTTAGTAAACATCAAAATGTACAGAATTGATCATGGGCAGTAGGTCAACAGAATGTGTCCATAAAATACGACCGACATTATTTTAGTATAAGAATATTCTGTTGCTTGAATACTAAAAGCTATTATACTATTAAATGAATAATTATTAAGAATATTTTAAAATTATATTTAATAATAATCAATTTTGACTATAGATTAATCTTTATTCTAAAATTAATGTAACATTATTTACAATAAAAATAGTAATAATTTGTTATTTATAAGTATCATGATCTCATTTGAGTATCACATGTCCGTCCAAAACTGAGATATTTAATTAACTTGTGATTTGATAATTAATTCATAGCTTTATACAATAATTAAATAGTAAAATAAAATTATTTTTATTACTTTAACTTTACTACAACATTACAATATTTATAATACATTTATAAGATAAAACATGGAATTAAACATATTAATGTAGTTTACACTAAATAATTGACAACAAATAACTTTTTAATACATCATGTATATTGAGCCAGGGAAAGCCAGATTATGTCAAGTCTAAATGCCAATTCATTACAACGAACAAGATGTATTAAGTTTAATAGAAAGTCTAACACACAAAAATAGTTACAGTTCATTGGTATTTGGACTTGACATAGTCTGGCTTACCCTGGCTCATATCATATACCGTATCATATATTTGAAAAATAATCGCAATTTTAACTAATATTTAATGAGGAATATTCCGGTGGTTTAACGCATTCAGTATAGGGTGGCGGCGGGTCATCAATAGGAGTCTCAATTGTCACACCATTTGAATTATCAATCATTAGTTCGTGTATATCTCTACCGGTGCCGTTCCCATCATTATTTAGGTGTCCCATCGTTAGATGTCGATGTACCGGGAAACGGGTTACCCGTCCACTGCTAGGACTGTTGGGTTGTCTACTAATTTGAAGCCTTATGTCGTGTTTCATATAGTTCTTACAGCAAATGAAAATGATCAAGCATTTGATGAACACCGATATAATTATGACATACAATTCGCCAAGCACACTTCTGTGGTTAACATGGCCATACTCATCATTATCAATATCCAGTAGTCGATAAT